CACCATGCATGAACAGAACAATCGAAAAAAATTAACATTTCTGATAAGGGATCCTAGGAAGCAATTATACACACAAACAAGAAAATGCGGGCTGATACGGAAATTTAATGGCGGCGTTCTAAATTCCCGTTGACCCTTTCTCGATGTCATAAAGTAAGTTTTCCAGGAAGGATGAGGGAAATAAAAGTTTAACCGAGTCAGTAATTAGATAAAGGAGCAGCCATCGCTTAAAAGTATACAGATTATCTGAAGATCTTGTATTTATTGGAAGGTTATTCCGGAGGAAATTATACCTGGAAGCAAAAAAAGAGAACGCTTAGAGGTGGAGGAAGCGGGAGGAGGTATAATCAGGGGAGAATTGCGAAGATTGTATGGGCGACTACTAAGGGTAAGTGCAGAAATCCGAGGAAGATTTAAAATATAAGTAATGCGAAAGAGGAGTCAGAGGCCTGCTTCTAGTCTTCGAACCCACAAAAATTTTAGGTTACATCGCTTATATCTACTTGCCAACCATCATACGCCTCATCTCGTTCTGGCGTACGCATGTTACTTCTCGGGAAATCAAAAATCCTCGTAGTACAGTTTCGCGAGTTTCTTCTTTAATCAAGCGCGTTTGTTATGCACGAAGAGCATTGGCAGAGAACTTGTTTAGGTCCTTATGCAAAATTGCACGATTAAGTCCTTTTAGATGATTATCAAGTGGTAAAACGAGACCAAACCAAAAGGCGAGGTGGTGGATTTACCCTAAATATAAGTAATATAGTCGAACATAACCGTGTTTAAGAATGTACAGATGAGCATAACCTGGAGATGCTACGTGAAATGTTTGGTATCTAAAGCCGAAAATTCTACTGTTACCGTTGTACATAGGCCTTCAAATCAACCTGCCGACGAAAATCAAGGCTTACTCAATCGACTCTTCGGGGCAGTCGAACGCAAAGCATTATTATTGTAGGAGATTTCAATGATCCGCGGATTAACAGGGACCTTATGATAGTTAGGGGCCAAAGACAAAGATTCGACCGAATGCTCTTAGACACGGCACTTGATGAACTTCTGTTTCAACATGTACGGCAGTGACACGGAAGCGTGGAGATCAGAGAGCTAGGTTCCTGTGCCTGCTGTTTACCAAGAGCGGGGAGCGTGTTGCTGAAATAAATGGTAGCCCACCCCTTGGTTCTTGTGATCACATTCAGTATAATTCAGTATATATGAGGGATAGAGGCAGAGCCTCGGAAAACCCTATTGACAGATAGACGTATGAAAAAAAAGATGCATATATTTACATAGCAGTTATGCCAGTCATTGATATCATGTAAATATTTGACCATCAAGCATAAATTTATCTAGTCTTCTTTTGAAGGTCTCGACGTTTTCCGCTAAGACAACGAAGTTCGGGAATTTGTTCCGTCCCTCAACTAGCCGGTGAGAGAAGAATTTGGCCCGCAAATCGAGTCTGGCATGTTTCGTCTTCAATTTGTATGGTTGCTCTCGGAGATTTGTCCTCCGCGCCAGTTCGAAGAAGTCGTCAAACTGAAGAGCACAGTCTAGCCTTCGGACGATCCTTAAGGCCATGATCATGTCCCCTCTGTACTGTCTTTAAGAGAGAGGAAATATTTTTAGCTTCTCCAGCCGTCTCTCATAAGGTAAGGTACTTAATCCGCCGACTAGCCTGGTCGCTCTACGTTGTACGTTCTCCAGTAGGGTGTAATCTTTTTTCGTCCAGGGCACCATGCCTGGACACAATATTCCAACATTGGTCGAACGTATGCGCCAAATACTCGGCCGAAAAGTTCTTCATCAAAATTGACGAAGGATCTTCTAATCGCGCCTAGAATACCCATAGCTTTCTTTGATACCTCGGCGCAGTGAGACGATGGTTTGAGAGTTGACTATCGTCTCACATGATATTGATGTGGGGATCAACACTTCTAGCCCTCTCCGAACGAAGCTTTAAACCTGTGTAAAATTGAGGCGATGAAATTGGAGATCGGACACATACTATGGACGGAAGCATTACAAGGAGATGTCAACGAATGCTATTTAAAATTTGAATAACATATGTGAGACTTGGTTGAACGATATTGTCCTTTCAAGAAACATCGGACCGGAAACAAACCGAAATGGCTGACAACTTAAATTAAGAAAGGAATCAGAAAAGAGCGCCAGCTGTGAAATATAGTCTTACAAACGCAGAATTAAGGAAAACTTCAAGAATTTAGACAAAAACACAGCTTCTTGATTTTGAGAAGGATACTCCTGGGATTTAGTGGAAGATTCAGTGGAAACCCTCACTTGTATCTTTACAACCCGCTGTTTAAAATTGATTATTTCACTTTATTTGGTAAGGATAATAGGCAAAGCCTTTGAAAACCCTATTGATTACATGTCAGCTCGTTAGAAATAACAGTACACGAACAAAAATATTCGCTATTAAAACAGCACATAATTCATTTGAGTACCATTGTATCAGAGAAAATATTTCTGGGGACGTGGGGTCTTAGTTCAGATTCAGACTGTCAAGGGAAAACAGGGGACACAAATAATCATCCAAGCGTTTCTTGAATAGTTGCAGAGATGTCGCCTCTACGACTGACTGAGGGAGATCGTTCCATTTCTCCACTACCCTCTGCGTGAAAAATTCAGAACGAAGATTCAACCTGGACATTATTGTCCATAACTTCATCGAGTGACCACGAAGATTGGGTGAAAGGTGCCACTAAAACATGTCCTAAAATTGAAGTCCATGCTCAAGGCCATATATTATCTTGTAGACGAGGCTAAGATCACCTCTTTGCTGCCTGTAATACAGAGGGAATAAATTAAGGCAATTCAGTCTGTCTGTGTATGATTGGCTTTTTAGACCGTTTACCAGCTTTGTCGCACGTCGTTGTGCTCGTTCAAGGCATGCTTGGTCCTTTACTAGCCATGGCCGCCATGCTTGTATGCCATATTCTAAGTGGGGCCGAACAAAAGTGCCGTAAACTCGCCCAAAAAGGTCTTGGCCAAAGTTAACGAAAGCCCTTTTTATTGAATGCAGCACTCCCATGGCGTTTTTTGCAGCCTTGTGACACTGCAGTGTTGGTTTCAGGTTGTTCTGTATCCAAACCCCGAGATCCTTCTGTGAAGATTCTGCGGGGAGCCTTATATCTTTCAGGTGATATGTCCTCAGGCTCTCATTTGAATGAGATTTTGTTGGACGCAGATGAAGGACGGCACACTTCTCCACATTGAAATCTAGAAGCCATTTCTTCGACCACGCTTGCAGTCGGTGCAGATTATCTTGAAGGGATCTCTGATCATTCGGTCCCTTAATGACTTGCCAGAGCTTAACATCGTCTGCAAACATTATTTTGCCGCAGTCGAGTTCTTGAAGGCTGTCGTTAACGTAAAGGATGAAGAGCAATGGTCCCAGATTACTAAATCCACTGCTAGCACTCCTCCCCCATAGTGACGATTTTCACGGTTCTTGATGTCATCTCCCGCACTTCGACCTCAGGCGTTCTGTCGACGCTCACAGTGGAACCCTCTGCATTCGCCGTCTGCTTGTAGTTTAGTAATATCTCCCTTGCCCTCTCCTCGGCTGGGCTCAAGGCGGACTGTAGCCGATCGCGTCTGTGCGACACAAATTAACGTTCTTCTTTTTATCGCATAGGGTCATTGGCCAATAGAGTTCATTGACGACGTATGATGCTAATTCCCCTACCGCGAGTGTGTTCAAGACTCTTCTAGATAATTACCTGTTAATAGGCAACCTGAACTCTCAAAGCCCGAAATAGTGAATTACTGACATGACTATCAACATAATACTAACATGAATTTAACAGAGCATTGGCCTTGCCCATATGAAAACTTCGCAGAGAGCAAATGCAGTGAACGATTTTTGCGCCGGTATTTTGCAAATGCCATACCTTTTTCGCATTTATGTTCCACTGTTAGATTTATGCACTCTACACATTAAAACTACGTGCAAAATTTTTGCAATTTAACTCATTTCCTTCACACCTGTACCGTTTGAATGGGGTTTTCAGGTCTTCTGTAATTCGCTCCAAATCTAGTGACTTAACACGATCGTCATAGCGCCTCTTGGGCGCTGTCAGTCTCCTTTGAACACAGGAGAAAACTTAAACCAAACTGATCCACTTCGGCTGCACTTTGACCTAATATGTTCCGGGTGTCTGCTTAGTCAATTGAGAGCAATTAAGAAGTTTATTTTAAGTTAGAAAGGCCTGCGTTTTAAGGCAAAGTAATGACAAAAGTTAAAAAGAGCTTGGAGTTTGGTAGTTTTCGGGGTCATTAGCGTGTCACCATTCGTGGGACTTGAAGAATTTTGACGTCGGCCTGACACTAAAATTTTCTTCGAGCTGATCAAATTAGGCCATCCAAACTACGATTGGACTATTTAAACTAGCGGAGATCACTTTTGACACGGATCCCGGACCGGTCCGGTGTAATCGTCTACCAACGAAGATAATCGGTGTTACACCCATTCCTATCGCTCACACCTCTTTCCTCGCTCTCGCCTTTCCGTCAGTGCCTCGTTTCCTTTATCGTCAGCACACTCACCGGCCCCCACCTGCAGTTGACGACAACCCTTCAATCCACATTGGCGTCTAGCTAATATGACGTGACCACCTCGCACACCGAATGGGTCATTTGCACGGTAATCCGCAATTTCCTTGTATTTGTTATTTTCTAATTTTTCACTCTATCCATTTGTTGACGTAACATAGATATCATAAAATAGAAGCCATTTTTCTAGTTGCTTCCCCATAGGCTTGTCTGATGTGGTGTTTACCAGTGAGAGCGACCGCACGTTCACATCACAAATAGGCCTGATCAGTCACTTGAGAATCCATCGTACAGAGACTGGCGAACCAGTGACTGGATCACCAACCTACACCCACCGCACTCGCCTCCACTGTCCACACTGCCCTCGCACATTCAGGCATCGCGTGGGCCTATTCGGACACATGCGCATCCACGAGAGCGGAATTGACCGCAACTCCGACAAACCCACGACAAACAGCACATCCATCACGTCCAGTCTCAACATCGCACCATCGCCCTGCGCTCCCAACACCACAAACACCACCACCACCACCACCACCACCACCACCACCACCACCACCACCACCACCACCACCACCACCACCACCACCCCCTCCGTAGCTGACACTGACGCTGCCGACTTCACCTGCCCATAATGTTCACGCGAATTCACCTCACGCATCGGCCTGGTCGGTCACTTGCGAATCCATCCCATAGAGACTGGCGAACGAATGCCTGGATCACCAACCCATACCCATCAAGCTCGGCTCAACTGCCCACACTGCCCTCGCACCTTCAGGCATCGCATGGGCCTATTCGGTCACATGCGCATCCACGACGACCTGCGGTAGACAACCGCCGGTTACACCACACATCCACACACTCTCTACCCTCCTCCACCATCACCAACACACATCAACACTCACTCACCGCATGCACCCAACTGCCACCTTCCACGCAAGTGGGAAATGTGCATCGCGACTCGGTCCCCATGAGGCTACTGCTTCACGGGTGATTTGAGTCCGAGACTATCCCGACACGTCAAGTGTCGTGGATAGGAAGGTTGCTGATTGACGCCCGCTCTCGGTTCACGCAGTTCGTCGCGTTGTGTGTGTGTGTGTTGCGAGGAGTGGCGGACTGGTGGGCTGGGGACGGGCTGAAACAGCACCTTCCACGGCCCTCTCACGCAAGTGAGAGACACGCCGTTCAACCTCCGTTGTGTGAAATCCTGGTGTTTGTGTGTGTATGGGGGGCCAGGTCGTGCTGCGGCGTGCGCAGGCATGGTCAGTCGACCATGTCAACCACCGCGCCCATTTCCCACTCCAGTTTGTCGACCGGCGCGGACGGCGGATGGGGTGTGGGAATGGGAAGGGAGAGTGAGGTCGACGACTCAGCGCACTTTCCTCACTATAATCCATCTGACGCGTTTGAAGCTATCACAGTGCGCTAAAAGCCTTGGCTTGGAAGTTTGCCAACTGATGGGGTAACTTGGACCTCCTCCTTCACTGGTGGTGGTCGGAGAGTCAGGCTGCAATTGCTCCTTCTTAATGTGGCATTTATGGCACTCCCACCACAGTGTGGGATCCGAGCCAGGCGTCGGCGGCACGACCAGGTGCGGCTTCGGCCGTGCCAGCCTCCAAATCTCTGTTGTGTTGGTTGAAATCCTGGATATTTGTTGTGTGGACCAGGGGGTGTGGTGGAACGCCAAGGTGAGGATCCGTCCGAGCCATCCACCTGCGGCCTCCCTCGTCTCCGGTCTTCTTGACTCTGTCTTGACACCGGGCCCAGACGGGGGAGGAGGAGAGAGTGTAGGTAGATGCAGCGCAAGTCTACTGGCACTATAAACCCCTGCGCAAGTCACCGTCCATGCTCCGACCTCTGCTGTGGGACATACGGTAGACATCATAGAAATCGATGGACGAAATGTCGTGCGTGTGTGCGTGTGTGTATGGGAAGGCTGCCCAGTCTGCCTGGAGAGGAGTGCTGGGTCCCCACGGTCTCCGCGGCTCCAACGACAACGGCCTGTTGCTGCTCCGCACCTGCGCAGAACACCGCCTCATCCTGACGAACACATTCTTCTGTCTGCCGGAGCGAGAGAAGGCCACCTAGAGGCATCCTCGGTCGCGTCAGTGGCACATGCTGGACTATATCCTCGTCCGAAGGCGAGACCAGCGGGACGTGCTGGGGACGAAGGCGATCGCGTGTGCTGAAGGGTGGACCGACCATCGCCTCGTCATGTTGAAGATGCGTATTCGTCTGCAGCCTCGCAGGAGACCACAAGGTAAGCGACCCCCAGGTAAGCTGAATGTTGCCTTGTTGTCTTTGCCCGCTCACCATCTTCATTTCAGGAATGAGCTCGCTCAACGGCTGTACAAGCTTCCAATCACTGCCGCCGACGTCGCCGCCGCTGCTGAGAACGCCTTCGTGGACAGCCGCTGGTGAGGAGATCCAAGGCTGCGCAGACCGCAACGAATGGAAGAACTTCTTCTCCGCTATCAAAGCTGTCTACGGTCCGCCGACGAAGGGCACTGCTCCTCTCCTCAGCGTTGACGGCAGTACTCTCCTGACTGAGAAGACACAAATCCTGCAGGGATGGGCCGAGCATTTTCGAGGCGTCCTCAACCGCCCTTCCGCCATCTCCGACGCCGCCATCGCCCGCTTACCGCAAGTAGAGACCATCGCGGTCCTCGACCTCCCGTTATTTCTCCAGGAAACCATCAGGGTCGTGCAGCAGCTCTCCAGCGGGAACGCACCCGGATCGGACGCGATCCCTGCTGAGGTCAACAAGCATGAAGGTCCCCAAGTCATGGATCACCTGACTACACTCTTCCAGGAGATGTGGCGTGAAGGCGAAGTCCCGCAAGATTTCAAGGACGCAACAATCCTGCACCAATACAAGCGAAAAGGGAACCGCTAAGTCTGCGACAATCACCGCCGCATATCCTTGCTGAACATCGCCGGGAAGATCTTCGCTCACATCCTTCTCAACCTCCTCAATAACCATCTCGAACAGGGTCTACTGCCGGAGGGCCAATGCGGCTTCCGCCGACATCGTGGGACCACGGACATGATCTTCGTCGCCCGCCAACTACAGGAGAAGTGCCAGGAGATGTGGTCCCACCTGTACTCTACCTTCGTAGACCTGACGAAAGCCTTCGACACAGTGAATCGTGAAGGGCTGTGGAAGATCATGCAGAAATTCGGCTGTCCGGAGCGATTCACTCAGATAGTGCGTCAGCTGCACGACGGTATGATGGCGCGAGTCACGGACAACGGTGCTGTCTCAGTGGCATTCGCAATGACCAACGGAGTGAAGCAGGGATGCGTGCTGGCGCCTACCCTCTTCAGTCTTATGTTCTCTGTCATGCTGATGGACGCCTACCGCGACGAACGCCCCGGGATCCGCATCGCCTACAGGACGGACGGTCACCTCCTGAATCAACGACGGATGAACTTCCAAACGCGCGTATCCACAACCACCGTTCACGAACTTCTCTTCGCCGACGACTGCGCCCTGAACACCATCTCGGAAGAGAAGATGCAACAGAGCATGGACCTGTTCTCCGCCGCCTGTGAGAACTTCGGTCTGGTCATTAACACGCAGAAGACGGTGGTGATGCACCAACCGCCACCCAACTCAGTCACAGCCCCCAACGCGCCGCCGCAAATCAGCGTGAATGGGACCCAGTTGCAAGTGGTGGAGAACTTCCCGTACCTGGGCAGTACCCTCTCCCGGAACACCAAGATCGATGACGAAGTCGCCAACAGGATCTCGAATGCCAGGCAAGCCTTCGGTCGCCTCCAAAGCACAGTTTGGAATCGTCATGTTCTTCAAGTGAGCACGAAGCTGAAGATGTACAAGGCCGTCATCCTGCCGACGCTGCTGTATGGCGCGGAGACCTGGACGGTGCACACGAGGCAGACACGCTGTCTGAACCACTTCCATTTCAGTTGTCTTCGTCGCATCCTGAGGCTGAACTGACAGTATCGCATCCCCGACACCGATGTGCTGGAACGGACGGGAATTGTCAGCATCTACACCATGCTGAGACAAATGCAGCTGCGCTGGAGCGGCCACCTGGTGCGCATGGACGACGAGAGACTACCCAAACGACTCTTCTACGGAGAAGTCGCGACGGGTTCTCGCCGCCAAGGAGGCCAAATTCGTCGATACAAGGACACTCTGAAGTCCTCCCTGAAGCGACTGCAAATCAACCCGACCAACTGGGACGAGCTAGCTCGCGATTGTCCGACATGGAGGAGAACAGTGAAGACGGGCACTGCTATCCACGAAGCCAACCGCATCGCTGCGGCCAAAGCGAAACGCGAAGCCCGCAAATCCCAACTGCGCCCAGTCCGCAACGCCGCCGCACAACCGCTCCCAACGTGTCCTCCATGTCAACGGACATTCTGGGCTCGAATCGGATTTGTTGGACATCTCCGGATCTACTGCGCCTCTCGGTAACTGGTAGCTGGACGAAATCACAATAATAAGGGTTTAAAGTAGCGAGTTATACATCGACATTCTCTCCTCTTCCGCCCCTGCCTCCGCCCTCCGCCTCCTTCTTATTTCATTCCTATGGATTCCTGAATAAAGCGAAACTAGCTACCATTCTGTGCAGCAATGTCAGATGAAGTAGTGTTTGCTGTGTAAGAAACAGTTACTTAAATTTAAGTTTACAGAGACAAAACTCGAATTTCTTTTTCAGAACACAAGCGACAGTTTCCCTTCTTGTGTAATATCAGTTCTCAATTTTCCAAAGCACCTGACTTAAATTGGTTACGAGTTATCTTTGAAGGACGTCTGCATAATGAACGTCACTTTATACACCTGTGCTCCAGAGTACACTGAGGAGTCGTATTTTAGCTAATCCCACAAATCTGGTCTTTTGAGCTCAACGCTTGTCAAATGGTAATGAGCAAACATAGGAAAATAGTATGTAGTCTAAAGTCTCAGCTCTTCTACCCCGTGCGTAGTATAGAAACCTGTATTTCTTGATTTCATGTCCAACCAACTTTACTAGCAAATTCCTCCAACCAACATATTAATTGACCTCTATTTTTGCTGATTTCACGTCGAGAACTTCGTCACTGTTACTGGTATAGGAATATAATTCGCGATTCCACGTTACAGCTATCCTTTATGTCCACTATTGTTTTCCTAAAAGTACGTCAGTATGCAGCAATACCCTGATTTGAGTGAAGAGGGGGCAAATGGCAATTTGAAAGAACCAAATTTCCAGTGCGGCAGCTGACAAGTGGCATTCTGTTATATAACTCAACTTATTTCTGACGATTACCCAAAACGCCTGGTTGGGCAAATAATAGTGAACTAGTAAATTTAATCTTAACTGACATAGGCAGCTTGCGCGTTTCATGTTTTCACCCTGCCAAATGGTCTACTAGTTGGCCGACAGTTGGATGCATTGGGTTGTGGTCAAGGCTGTTTACGTTTACACACGATTGATCTTAAACATTGCAGACGTACGGTAAGTATGCCAACTCATGAAATGTTAATCGAAATTCGGAAATCCGTTTTCGTTTTGAAAAGATTGATTAAGTAGGGTTGTAAATCTAATCATCATGTTGCATAATTCTAAAATAATTCAGTTACCTCGGGATGCCGACTTTCGAACGAACTCCCTTCCGGTTGCATGAAAACTCTACGCCTTGTGAAAAATGACTATTAATTGGCATGCATTTTTGTCATTGAGTTTCTATGCCCTTAATAACTCAATCATATTTCATGGAAAATATGCATAGGATTACTAACAGGTCACCTAGGGGTTGCTTCTCAGGTAGGGGCACAATAGAAACGCGCCTTGCCATGTCCGTCCTGCCGTTTAATTCGTTTAAGACATTTACCAACTTTACCCGGCTTTTATTATTTTTTGTTTTCCAGCTAGTCACTTTGCTATTATACACAAGAAAAAAGCTTATCAGCTTTCTACAAGCGCGTACTGTCCATAAGTAGCAAATGACTATCGCAATGTCCCCATACATTGCCGATACTAGACCCCAGTTTATCCTGTCGGATAGACAAAGAAAAGAGTTAGAATGAAAACACAGAATCAAAGCCAGAATCTTACTTCTTCCTGTGAGGTGATCTAGACAATTGTGGTTGAATCTCGATCTAATAGGTCAATAAGAATACCATGTCATTTCTAATGCAAGTTTCCATTGTGAATTCACGAGAAGCCTTAATGAAGAAGCTAGGTTGGTTGTTTCCCCTGAGATTTTCGTTGTTGGTTTAGCTTTTCTCCATTGAATATTCCAAAGATTTTGTTGACTTCGCACATATTCACAGAAGTGTCTCCTAGGCCTAAATGATCTTTGGAGTGTTTTAGCAAACAAGCCATTGTAGGTACCCGTATCAAGAGGCAAGACTACCTGTCTACAATGGTCATGCACACTTGATACTAGACACACATTGGCATGGGACAAACGCTCATCGTCGGAGTTTGTCGCCCTGAAAAACCCAGAGCTTTTTGTAGCCATGCATTCCGATGAGTCATGCATTAATCGACACATTGCGTTAGGTGCCCCGTATAAAAATTTCAGGGCAAAGTGGGAGAGAAGAGAACCAATCGATTCAGAATGACGCACACAGCGGCCGCCTACTGGCACAAACGCAAAGTGAATATCGACTTTTCAGCACTTTTTAAATGTTAATTGTTTTTTGTATATTAAGTCAAGTCTGACGACGACCTGGGGAACCAGTGTCGAAAAAGTACTCAATAAATTTTCTGATTTTCCCAAAGAACATTTTTGCCATCAATGTATACAGCAGGTGTGCTAACTCATGTTATGTTAACCGACATTCTGAAATCCGTTTTCGTTATGAAAAGACTGATTAATTAGGGTTGTAAATCTAATCATCATGTTGCATAATTCTAAAATAATTCAGTTACCTCGGGATGTCGACTTTCGAAAGAACTCCTTTCCAGTTGCATGGAAAGTCTATGCCCTGTGAAAAATGACTACTTAAGTGGCATGCATTTTTATCATCGATTTCCGATGTCCTTAAGAACTCAATCATATTTCGTGGAAATCATGCATAGGAATATTCATTTTGTCGAAAAGTACTCCATCGTCCAATTAGATATTTTATGAAAGTGTATAACCTGGTTTTCATAAACTTTTCCGATTCTCGAACAATTTTAGACACGATCTGCCGTTGCACTTGCATTCAGGGTTTTGAAACTACAAGGTGTATATTTTATATGTAAGAAAAACCACACATTTCTCTATGATATTAAGAGGAGATGAATGGGATTCATTAAACTGAACAGTGGGTTTGAACCATCTGGCAAACTTAAGAAGCCACATTACTAAATGCAGAGACACGAGGTTTTATGAACGGACATTTCAAGGTATTAAAAATCTCATAATAATAATAAACTTTTTCTAAATCGGATTTTATCATTTTGTAAGTATAAAATTGAAAGAAGGAGTGATTTTCTACCAAATGAGTAAAAAATGAACGTTTTATCGTGTTTTCTATGAAATATAATTGAAGTTTTAAGGGCATCGAAAATCAGTGAAAAAAATGCATGCTACTTAAGTAGTCATTTCCGCAGAGTCTGGTTTTTGCATGCGTCCGGAAGACGTTCGTTGGAAAGCCGGCATCCTGAGGTAACTGAATTATTATATAATTATCTTGCACGATGATTAGTTTCATGAATATGCCTAAGTTATCTTTTCGAAACGGAAACGTAGTTCACAATTTCGGTTAACAGTTTATGGGTAAGCACACATAAAAAATAAAGGCTCTTCGGAAAATGAAGTTGTACTCGCAAATTTTCAAGTCGGTGACACCGACCCGTTGTCAGACGAAATGAACAGAGGGGAAAGTGAAATGGGTAGACAAGGTCGGCTGGTGCGACAGGACAGACAACGACAAACAGACAGCTGATGCGTGAGATCGATCATCAATCACTTGATGCTGACATCCACGCCTAGGGGGTCTGAAATAGTTTTTCCGTCTTATTTACCATCCCCACACGATTCTGTCCACACCGTAGGGCATTCCAGGATGAGATGTGAATCCAAGTCCAATTTATATTTTGGATGTTTCCAGCGGATATCAGCACAGATTCCTGAGGTGCCTGTGCAAATTTGTCAGCCTCTGATAGTTTCGATTAATATACAAAATCCGTCATGTAGAACAATGATCATCAAATTAATGAGCAGAACGGCATAAGTGACAAAGAAATAGGATACTGGAATTGTTATTTCTGGCGTCTAAATTTAATTAGCCAGTCATACTCTACTTTAGATTTGCAACCTCTGAGCGTTATACCTGCGTTCAGACCATTGATTCAGTTTCGTTGTCCTGTCGATTTCAGTCTGGCAATTACCTGTAGTGCACACATGGCGCATATGCCTGTGTTGATAGCTTAATTTGATATTGGCCAATGACTCAAGAAGTCAAACGCAGTCATTTCCGCATTTTATATGCATTTACACTTCCTTCATCAGTAAGGGACTACAATGACTCAAAAGGCGCTGACAAAAAAGCAAATGTGGACTGAAATATTGAGTTCTGGTTCGTTTTTCGTCCTTCTCCACTTATACCTTAAATCCAAGAAAACATACCAGGCGTCTGAACGAGATTTCCAAGTCTCCTGTTGTTAACTGCCCTAACAGATATCTAAAGAGTCAGCTCTATCTTTACCATGATTAGTCCTTCGCAGTGCTCTTTGTCAATCCAATCTTACTTTATGACAAAATAGGAAAATTAGGCTTGGTTGGGAATTCCAGCCTAAGGTCATAACTGAAGCTTCAGTATAGCTGACCGACAACAATGAGAAACCAGAATTATCCATTGGCCTTGTCGGCAAGACTTCTCGAACGTTAATGCTCTCTGGTTGTACAATTTATTGCAAAAGTTATTGACAAAATCCGCAGGTCGAAAATGAAGGCCTTATTAAATTTTGTACATAAAACAAACTTGCGTTCATCAATTATTTTCACGTGACATTTTTGCTATAGATTCTGCCAAAATTGCACAGAAGTACCTTTAATATATAAAACTTTAGCATACTGGGCAAAATCTATCACTCATTTGACCTTCAGAACTAAATCTATGCACGCGCGTTCTAAGATATTGAGTTCCCCTAGCAAATACACTACGTGGCCTGACAAAAAATCTGCCTCATTTTGCTAAACATCTCTTATCACTCTGAAGGTGAATAAAAATGTATCGAAGACAACTGACAGCTGATAGTAAGCCACTTAAAGTGAAATACAAACACAAAGGAAATATCAAAATTAACAGTATGTTTAAGAATAGCATATTCCCGAAGGTCAGAGGCGACGAAAACACAACAAATAATGTCGAATGAGTAAACATGATTTGTAGAAATGCATAAAAATCCTTCATATAGATGACGAAGCAAACAAAATATCGAAAGTAGAATAGCGTTTAGAAGTAGTATTTTAGCGCAGTTTAAATCGAAATAT